GCAAATTTATTTTATTGACCCTTTAAACATATTATTAAAATGAACAATATATTTTTTATATATTAGTTTTTACTATTTCAGAGAAATAGACAAACTCAAATGCATTTTGAACACAAATAGTGCTCAAGATAATTTTTGATGAAAATTACTATCTCAATGAAAATTGAGTCTGATATAGTTGAATCATGAATTCATAGATTCTGATAAGGAATTTGAATAAATGTATATTATATAATATTATAATTTTTAACAGTAAAAAATATATAAATATAATATTTTTTAAGTGAAATATCATTTGTTAACAAATTGCATAAATATGTGTTTTTAACTATAATTGAGGTTAAAAAATGCGTAGTATAACAAATTTATGACATTTTTGAAACCATTTGTTGATTGCTATGTCTTTTTTTTAACAATAATTGACGTTAAAAAATGGATATTTTAACAACTATATGGCATTTTTCAACACCATTTGTTGAAAAAGGGTTCGCTGTTCAACACTATTAAACATCCTGAAAAATTTCCTGATGAATAATATGGGAAAAAACCAAATGAGTCTGAAACTTATTTACAAGATAGGAAAGAGGGTTAAAAGATTTAAACCAATAGATAATGTCATAAATGAGCAAATGGATTGGAATTTGATAGTGACAAATGTAAATTTGAATGGTAATTTTTTTTGTAGTAATTAATTCGGGTCAATTATAAATAGAAAATATATTGTTCATTTTAATAATATGTTTAAAGGGTCAATAAAATAAATTTGCTAAACTTCCCATTAACTAAATTTTATGCAAATCAATATACTATACTAAAAATCCTAGGCTATTTTTCATTTTAATACAATGTTAACAAAATTAGGGAGAATTAAACAAAGGTAAACAAAAAATATTTGTATGGTAGCGTCTGGACATCTTCAAGCACAAAAGGATCTTGCTGACTGTTATTTTATTGGAAGAGGAACTATTGATATTTGAAATCAGCAGTCTGGAAGTTCTAAAGCACAAAATTATCTTGCTCTCGTTATGATAATGGCGAAGAAACATCAAAGATTGACAAAAAGCATTTGAAGGCAGTAAAGTTAGGACACCTTATAGCGCACAATATAATCTTGCCATATTGTATAATAACAGGATAAAAGATGAAGAATTTCTGATTCCAGTCATCAAAAAAAGTCAAATTTTATTAAGATATAGCTATGAAAGAGATTTATTTTCGAAGAATGTGGAAGAAATCTTATCCAAACATCTTTTTAATCTTAATTAAAGCTCCATTCAGGTAGATCCGGTTTTAAAAACAATCTAACCCAAACTGAAAACTTTTCAGTTCGGATTAGTATGTTGTCGTGGAATGCCGAAAATTACTCTTGACAACATTTTTGGTTGGAACTTTATTGTTCTATTTACAGATTTGTGGGCACGTATAAGATGGCATATTCCAAATGCCGCTTAGATCTCAAACTAATTGGCTGATTTCGATAGCAGAAACCTCAGTTTTGGGTAGCTTTCCATTCATCCTTGCGAATTCTTTTAATTATTAGTCTCTTCTTTAACGCGTAAATCCAAACAAAAAAAGCGACGCTCAACAGGAAAGACATGACGAGAATAGAGCGGATTGAATTAATTCTAACCTCAAATAATTGTAGTTAGCGCAAAGCATTAATAGGTTCACTGCAAGCTCATATGAGCATTGACATATAAATTGAAATAAGAAATAAATTTGTAAAGCTTTTTGCTGGTTCCGAGTCTACGCATTTAATTTTTAGCGTTTTTTGCGTCCACTGTATACCTTTCTAGAATGTTTTTTCTAATTTTATGATTCCTAATTACGAACTTTGATTTATCATATTTGATTTACTGACATAATATAATATAGGCAAGTGCATTTATGTTTGAGAAAGCACAGAATTTGGATCGGTATACGTGTAGCACATGTACAGTACCAAAGTATAAAATATCGCTCGGTTCAAAATTAAACAATAAAAATCCAGATACTTATGGTGTGAGAAGTCTTAACTGGCTGATCGTTTTTAATTTTCGAAATTGTTCTTTGTAGTAAGTCCTACAAAGTTGCCGCTTGGGAGTGGTCAGTTACGACTTCCTACATAATATTTATTTTATTTTATTTTATTTCAGCAACTTATATACATTAAATAAAAAATCATAATATTTTAATCTAATACCATTAATCTTTCTTGATATTGAAGCATTAACTCCTTAAGACAGATCGAATTTCTCTCGCTCTTCCTTTAGTGCAGTACCACTGTCTTGGAAGACCTATTTTTTGATATTACCTTCAACAACTTTCAAATCTTCTTAATTGAATTCAAATCTGACGAATTTCCCGGCTAGTTGTTAATCGTAATTTTGTTTCCGTTCCTTGATTTTTTCCCTCATATGAATCGGTGCGCGCGTTATCTTGCTGAAGAATTGCGTAGCTTGCAGCTAACTTCTCAATTGATTTCAAGGTAAGTATTTGCATTTATTTTTCGCAAAAAAATGATAATGGTCCTTTTAATCCCCCATACACTCAAACCATTACGAATTTTCAGCCATTCTTAAAAAAAGGCGCTAAGCAACTAACATTAAACTCATTCCAGTGTGCTGCCAGCCTCGTGGCCGCTTTCGAATTTTGACACTTCTGGTCAGAAACTGACTATAGCCCAATCATAAGCTGATTTATTTTTATTTTCTTCACACCACCTAACACGAGCATATAACATGTGTCTCCTTTATCTAGGGCTTTTTTGCTGCGACACGTGAGTTAGGTCCAGTAAATTTGCGGCAGTTGTCAATTTTCGTAGTGGTGCATGTCACTTTTCATTGGGTTCACATCAAGTAAATCTTTTTTGTGATTTTAAAGGATTGGTGGTTTTCCTAAATGATAAGATTTTTGGCAATTGTTTGGGGTCATCCAAGCATTTTTTTACAATTGATCAGCATTTGCGCGGACATGTCATACAATTCATTCAATTGCATGCATGTATTGTTTATTCACTGCGCATAATGTGGGAATAAATGCAATAAAAAGATACGATAATTCTCTATCACTCCACTCTTCACAATCATAAAAATGGAACCAGCACAGAGCACACAAATAATATCAGCTTCACTTATGTCAACAGAAGAAGCGCTGCTCGAACACATAGAAATAAAAACCCTCGTCCAATCAACACGTCAATTCAAAAATATTCACACGTACTCTATCGATTTTCCAAAAGACGTGAATTCTTCGCCAGCAACCACAATAATCGCCAAACCAGCAACCGCACATGGACTAGCTTCCGCTATAATTCAAGCTTATTCTAGACATCAACATTTATGTTTATCACCAGATGACATTTGGTTAACCATTGCACAGGGTGTAAGTCGACACATTAATTACAATGCAAAACGATTTCGGCATTATTTTGTAAAGCATAAGGGTAAAGAAGAAATAACACTTGATGTTAGTGATATACTTATGACCCCTGGTTACGATACTCCAATCACTGGAAATTGGCCAGAGGCAATTGCCCGTCTAGCAAATGAGACGGACAACAGAATACAGAAAGTTGACTTGAAAAAAATTATTGAATGCGATTTCTCAACTTCTGATTTCACGTCAATTGTCACAAGCCGTATTATTCTATTGGATGCGATGAAAGAATACTTTGTATATCGTCTAACGGTTTTCGGATGTGGAATTCCTAAGGTCACTCTTAAAGGTACATTAAACGATTGGCTAAATCTACAACAAAAAGTTACGAATCTACGGTCTTTGGGATTGGACTTGGATTTTTGGTTAGATCGTTTAGAGCCAGTTATTGCACAATTTGTCGCGACATATAAGGGAGAAGTGAGCGAAAGTTTTTGGAGCGTGGTTAGATCTGAGACTCCGTATGGAAGCGGGATGCTTACTCCGAGTTGGGATGGTTGGATCAGTGCATTTTTCCCATATGACAAAAAGGGAGTACGATTGAGTATGAAGGGAATTGTTCCCGATCAGATACCTGATGGATTATTACATGTACCATTTATTGTTGAATCACCCTTCCAGTCTAGAAATTGCCAAATGTCTGCTGGATTTCTTGGTGCTAGACAAGACCTTATTGAAAATGAGGTAGTTGTATCACCCGTTATTGGGTGGTATGTGAGTGATGCATAAGTTTGTGAATTTTGAAATTATCTACAGTATTTCTGACCTTAAATTGTATTTCTCTGTATTTAATATCGATATAATAATAATAATAATAATAATAATAATAATAATAATAATAATAATAATAATAATAATAGTAATAATTTGTACCTTTCATTAAATATAAATATAAATTAATATGGTGCAAGACATCCAATATTTTTAAATATATAACTATCAAAACCAAATAAACTATTAAATAGTCTGATGTGTTTCTACAAGATTATGTATTTATTTTGTTATTTAATAAAATTTGATAGTAATAGCGCCCGAAATATCACGTGCATTATTTTTGATTGGCTGAATTTCTTCATGCAAAATCGCATTGCTATTTTTATCCAAAATAAACCTACCAGGTCGGGACTATTTTCGGAAAATTCGGTTTACCGAGATTTAATTAATAAATTCAGTTTTATCGAGAAAGATTTACTATAACTGTTTCTGGACCAGATCCCGTTATCGAAATTCGATTTAACTCTTCAAAGATTCAGCAGTGGCGCAGCATATGATGCGACTAAACTGCGTGCACCATAGCGATTTGAGATATTTTAGTGAAACCCGTCGTTAATTGAAAGATCAACATGTACATCACCATAGGAGTGTTTTAGTGAGTTCTGATTGTACTTTGCGTTAACGTTAAACCGAAGGTCACGCAAACGTTATTAGTTAATATAGGTGGCATGCAAAATTTACTTAGTTTTTATAGTCTTCATGTTTATGTATAAACGCTTGTTAAATTTGATTGATTGTTATCCCTTAAAATATTCAGCAGGCAAATTGTCTGTTAAGCTAGTCGGTTTAAGGGATAAAAATCATCATAAATAATAGAACTGATAGAAATTTATGATTAAAATAATGTATTCTAGAAATTTATGATTAAAATAATGTATCATAAAAATATTCTAGCAAAAACCAGAAAGTACTTTAAAGAAAGAAGGATACTATATAGAGCGCTTTACGGTGCTAACGAAAGATCACATTATATGAAAATGTAAAACTTATGCATGTATGTGTTGAAGCAAGATTGTTACTGCTTTAAACCACCTGAAATTTCCAAGATAATTCATCCCAACATTTGAATATTTATTATTAATAATGCTAAAAATATAAATCAATTTTTAATGGTTTAGAAATATTTGTTTATTGATATTCATATAAAATATAAATCTTTGTAATGTATTGATCTATCACAAATACTGTATACCCTATATATAATGTAACTATGATAAGATCTATTTTTTGAATTTTAATTAATTTAAAGAGTTTTTTTCATGTATGCCAAACATAACCCGTATTCACGAAGTTTGAGTTGAGATAAACACAAGAGTATTACATGTACCTGTTTCCTTAAAATATATTTAGCATGCACAATAGTAGCGAACATTCTACTGTCCCCTGGATAATATAAGGTTTTTTTTCATATTGTCCTCTCTATGAGATGGATTAGAGATAAAATTCACGTATAATTCATTGTTAGAAAGATATAAATTCTTTATCTAGTACATGTAATACTTTTGAGTTTAGTGTTGCCGCCTCTCTGTAAAAATTTAAGCTTAATTTAATCACAGGGGCATAGTAACAAAAATTTTAAAAATTGCACGGATGTTACAGTACATGTATTATAATACAGTTGATAATGTCTAATAAATGTACATGTACATGTATGCAATAGATTTAACAATTTTATTAGATGCATAAATTGAATGGATGTTTGTGTGAGTAGATACATTGTACATGTACAAATTAGTCTTAACAAAGAAATTCGTGTAACAAATAAAATTTAAATAATTTTTTAAACAAGTCACGGCTCAAGCAATTAGTCGAATTTTTTAATCAAATGATGTGAAATTTCTGATATTATGTGGACCATTATCTTTTCCGTGATTACCGTATTCTATAAAACTATCAAAGTTGTTAATTCCATTGATTTTCCGATGTGGTATCCATTTGCGCTGTCGATGATGTTGTTCCGTTGGTGACTAAATTATATCCATACTCGTTGTTATTATAAGGTTAAATTCGATGGGCTTACATTATGATGAAAAAATAATGGATTGAATGGAATACACAGATATCACGTAAAAATTTGAATCGGCTTAGCGTATTTTTGACTTGTGATGATCATACCTTTACATTAGCAGTGTCCGGGGAGCTGCAAATATTGTTTTGATAATTTGCAAAATTATTTTTATTCAATTTCGATAAAATCAAACATAATTTTTTTACTAACATTAAGAAATTAAGCCTCAATTCAGGCCAAACCTGCAAAATTTTGGTAAATTATGACATAGCTTCGGACCAACATTACTGAAGCATGTCAAAACACATGGCCTGAAATTAGAACCACCATTTTTGGTCAACATCAAAATTAAGTTAAAACAAATCATGTGACTTCAAATTAACCAGTCATGTATTAAACAAATTAAGCTATAATTCAGGGTTAAGTCATGAGACTATTATTATGAATATTTTGCGGATCCTGACAGTACCGGTTTGTCACGACCACGTTTCTAGCTTCGTCAAATATCAATGGAATTCTTTTGTGTATCAAAAAGAGTGTGGGTATTTCATGTGACTTCTCATGTTTAAGTTGTAAACAGGTAAAGAAAAACAGTTATCAACAAAATGCAAGATAAGCAAGTTATGGTTATTTCTTTGAATTAAAATATTTGCGTTTTGTTTATCTCTCAACAAATAAATAAATATCCCAATTTAGCTATTACTCACACAACCGGGAACTAACGTTGGACTTGTACATGTAATTGCTCATTGTATGTTGCAGTAAAGTTTATCCAAATGTTCGATGATCTTTTCTTTTTGCAAAATTCTCTAAGCTAAAAACGGTTCTAAAATGCAGGGAAAATAAATCAAGGAAATATTTTAGATATAACAGTTTAGGCTGTTGAAAGAATGAATTCAATTGGTTACATGTAAACTCTATTAATAAAACAGAAAAATTTCGTGTTTAGAATTTCTCACGTATTAGGATTCAGTATATCACTTGCATGAGAATTTTAATGAAAATAACAAAGCCAAAATACCATTCTTTAGTTAGAATGATACATGTACATGCCATGATATCCTATGTTTAGTTTTCTATATTCCCAAGACATGGAAAATCTTGAAAATCTAGTATAATAAAAGACAATAAAAAAATAAATTTGTTTGTTTCTATTTTTTATATCGTTATAGACCCGATCCGCGAGAGTCACATTTGACAATGCTGTTTGTTACTTTAATTTGATCTATCAAGTTAAAAATGATGACGCGAAGAACTTATGATGAACTAAACGGCTAAAACTTTATTGCGGTACAACATATCAAAAAAAGGACACAACCAAAACAATACTCGCTATTGATAACGATAACTTAATCATTTAAATGCAGGTTCTCGCGCGCTTCTAAATTAGTAATGACGAAATCAACGCCCAACAGTAACATTAAATTGCGAAAATCCTAATTCATCCGCATCGAAAAACGCCAAGTTTCGTAGATTCATAACGATAAATAACCAACAATAGCATTGTTTAACCAACTGGAACATTATTCTGCATTAAAATAACCCCTCAAAGATCATACATTAGCATTAACTCAAAGAAGCGAAAGTATATGCGTTTGCATCTCATTAAGAATCATATAAAAGAATGCACTTTTTTGGTAATGGCGGGGTTATTTATTAAATGACGAAAACCTTCGTGTTTTGTACACCTAAATAAAGCAATCCGAAAATTCTTATTGTGAATGTATAACGATAATTTTCCTTGAGCACATTCACATTTTAGGAATTTCTGCATTTTCGTTATCCTTTCGAGTACACAAGTTATACCAATGACCGGTGTTTCATCTGTAAATCTTGCCATTAAGTTCGTACAAAAGACTTCTTCAAAACTCACTAACCATAATAATACTCGCCTTAGCTAACAAAAGTCATAGAGAAATGCGAATTTCCTTTGATTCACTCTTTCGCCTATGCTCGACTCCTGTTTTTGCCTTTCAAAATTGCAGCATGAAGATCTATATTTGGTTACTACTGCACTACACGTATACGGTTAATGTTACTATGTGTGTGTGCATGCACAATATAACAACATCTATAAAAACGCAGTCTATTGCCCTCAACGAAAGTTTTTTTCACACACGCAAAATAAAAAGAAAAAATAATTTATCTAATTTAAAAAAAATCACCAAGCAACTTCACAACAAATAAAAAAATGAGAAAAGGGATGAAATTCGTCGGTTTCTTTGTTGCACTCACTATTGCACTCGCAACCGTTTCCGCATACCCAATTGAAAAACGAACCTGTGACGTTGGAATAAATGGAAATGTCGGCTGTGATAACACCGGCACCGGAAACGTAGGAAACGGCAACGCTGGCAATAACAATGTAGGCAATTATAATGGAGCCAATTCGCCAGGACTCAACAACGGAAATGACAACGTCGGAAGTGGAAATGGTGCAGATGCCGGTGGTGATAATAACGGAAACCATAACATCGGAAGTAATAATGGCGGTCAAGTTGGTGGTAGTGATAACGGAAACTATAACATCGGTAGCACAAATGGATTCCATGATGGTTTAGGAAATGCAAATGACGGAACATCTGGAAATCGTAATGGAAACGCCAACATTGGTGGTTTGAATGGCTCGTTTAATGGAAACGAAAACGGTGGAAGCAATAATGGAAATGATAGCGGAAACAATAATCTTTCGACTTTAAATGGCAGTTTCGATGGAAACGGTAATGGTCCGAATAGTTCTAACAATGGTAACCAGAACGGAAACGACAATGGTCCACAGAATATCTGAAAACTCATTTCCTCATAAAACTTTTAGTCTTAATCTAACATTGATGTGTGTATAATAATAATAGATATATAGTGACTTTTTTGTATTAGGTTCATTAATATTTAATATAATTAACTTACGTTAAATAAATAAACGTGTATGATTTTGTGATATTACTCATGTAATTACACTTTAATACCATTTCGGTAACGTATATGTTATTCTATAGCGATACACGTTCTGGATAAGAAATTTTGGTTGACGCTGTATTTACAAACAAAGCATTTGTGTTTACAAATATCTTTGAAATGTTGAACTGTTCGAGTTTGCTATTGCCCTTTATTATTATAAGGATTATAAGGGTTGTGACAGATATTACGTAATATCCCTTTGGGGCAAGGACAATGTTTTTATGCGGCAATAAATTATCAATTATGCGTGCAATAAAAGTAAATTATGCGCAATTATGCTTAATCAAAGTAGGAAATTTTTATTTTTTATATAGTATTTATGCTTAATTCTGCATTACAAACTCTATGTAGTTTATGCAGTTTTATGTGATTTGCATAAAATCATTGTCCTTGTTTGGGAATCACATGATACCTGGGGATGGAGGATATCTGTCACGGCCCTAAAGGACAAAAAAAATTATCGGTTCAAAAATACAATAAATTTGCAACTTAATTCTAACTATGACTTTCAACAATTTTACTTGAGGTTTATCTTTCAAACACGAGAGTCTATCACTAAATTCATACATAAATGATGTATTTAGAAGAATTGTCCCGAATATACATGTTTTATTTAACTTTCCAATTAAAATCACGTATATCGGATATCGCTCAAAAATACGTTCATTTTATCTTTCTTACCGTATATGCCAAAACCCTATTTTTGGTGATCGTCCGACAGTTAAAAATGGTGAGGTTTCTTATTGTCGTGACTTATGAATTTAGAACGGTGATCCCCCGAGGGTTTCTTTATTTTGGTATCTCATATAACAAAAAATCTGCAACATTCGATTTGTCGAGATTTTGCGTCCCGAAGTTAATAGAATAGGAATACGCAACTTTTGATCAATCAGCAAAAAATCCAACTCTAATAAATTTATAAATGTTTCTTAGTTTGGAGGTTTCTTATTTTCGATACTTGTCATTTTCCTAAAATTTTTAAAAAACTTGAGGGTTTCTTATCTTCGGGGTTGCCTATTTTCGATATTCAGTTACCTGAGATTATATGTACATGTATTTTGGTGCATATATAGTGCGCAGGTCTATAAGCGCACGCAAATAGTTATATGATTTTCAACAATTTATATTTTTAACTATGTATTTGCTATTTGTCTATTTATAGTATAGAATTGAAGAAAAGAATTAAGTCAAATTTTTCTTTGGAAATTAGAATTCTAATAAAATAAAATTATAAAAAGAGGCAACCGCTTTTCTATACAACGAATAATATTTGTTCTTAACATCTAATACTAAATATATGACAATTTTTGAATAATTCCTTCAAAAATACATCCCATTACTTTCCGCCAGAACTATAATTATATTATATTATTATTTGTGAGATCATGGTGAATATCACAATAATTTTTATGTGTTATTATTATTGCCGTGAAAACGAACAAATCTCGTGATGATGGAATATTAGCAATGTATAACGAAAACTTAAAAAATACCGTAAAATCATCAATATTTAGAAAATGGCTTTTTCCAATCAAGTAATCAATCATTATAAAACAATATAATTCAAACTTAAATATATCCAAATTTTTTATTGTTGAAATAATATCGTTTATTTCGTTCCTCATATACGGCTGGTGAAAAACTTAAATATATTAAATATGGTTACTCGTCGTTATGAACTTCATCATACAATGATATCGCGAAAGAATAAATTGGAGAAAGCAAATCGTCGTATTGGAGCTGGACGTAAAGCAGCGAAAAAGAACGTTTACAATAGATTTTTAAGCAACGTCAAAATGCAATTGCAATAATATTAAATACTCTAAAAATTTATACGATACATCTGTTAACTACGGTTTATACTACAATATATCCAAATGCAAAAAATAAATTTCAAGCTACAGATGGTTAAATTTATCATTTGCAAATAAAATTATAGAGTTTCAAAACTTTTGTAATCAAATATCGAAAACAATATAAATATGGATGAGACACCAATATATTTTGATATGGTTGGAGAATTTATCATTGATGAGCGTGGTGCAAAATCTGTTCAAATTCGCGCAACTTTATCTGTGTGCTTACAGTTCTTGCAAATGGTATTCAATTATACCATTAGTTATTTTCAAGGGAAACGTATTCCAAAAGGACTTCCAGCTGATATTATTGTAATAATGCATCCAAAAGGATGGATGGGATGAAATTTGGTTTGAGAAAGTATTGGAAAAAAAGAAAATTATAATATTACGGTAGCTGGCAATCTTCAAAAACCAAACTATTATACAATATGTAATTGGATTATTGAAGCATGGCAAGAAATTCCGCCAACAATGATAATAAAGTCATTCAAAAAATGCAGTATTTCTAATGCTCAAGATGGTACAGAGATGGTATTATTTAGGAAGAGGAATGGAGGGAGGGGGAGGAAAATCAAAAGGAGAAAGAACGAGAAATAATTGAAAAAGAAATATTCAGAAAAACGGAAGTGGTGCTTAAAAATGGGGGGTGATTATTTACAGTAGTTACATGTAATTAGTAATGCGTACTGTACGCATAGCGATAGTACGTATAGCAGTCACACGATTTGTCACGCAGATCTGTGGAGTAAATTTTCTTCTACAGTGCTCGTCATAAATAACGAGAATTTAATTTGACGTGAACTGTATATATAAATTTTCCAATTGTGTACCCCCAATAACATCAGCTTTTAATGACGGTTTGTTTACATGTGTAACTTAAAAACAAGCTACAAAAAAAATCCTTCCCTATTTAGTCTCCATCACTTTTTTACTGCGAAATGGACAAGATCCCTCTTGCTGACCGACGAAAGACCGTAAGTGAGCTTTGGAGCCGTGGCATTCGTGACGCCCCGATTCTGGCGAAATTAAGTGATACCCCCCTTTCTACAATATACAAGTATATTACTCAACTAAAAAAAAATCATAAACTTGAACCTATTTCGCGTCCTGGATGTCCAACAATCTTAACTCCCCCAAATCATCACATGTTAGGAAGAATTATTCAAAATGATCAATACCTTACCTGTGGAGAAATTGCCACTAAGCTTAATAATATGATCAAAATATTAGCACGAACAGTAAACTGTGAACTTAATAGACTTGGTTACTGCTCAAGTCACCCCAAAACAGTACCTTTACTTACTGAGAAACAACACGAATGCCATGTGGAATGAATGACTGCTCATGCAAGGCAAAACTGGAAAAATGTTGTATTTTCAGATGAAACTACATTTTAGATATTTTATAACACTATGACTGCATTCTACAAGGCTGGTACAGATATTCCACAAAAGAAGGTTCTAAAACATCCTGTAAAAGTTCATGCATGGAGTGCTTTCTTAGCATGGGGAATGATTGGTTTTTATATTTTCACTCAGAATATGGATGGATTACTTTACCATGACATTTTAACTAATAATCTTTTTGAGAATGCATCTAGGATCATGCCATTATGCTAGGTCTTCTAACAGGACAATAACCTAAAGCACATAACAAAAAAAAATAGCAGAACTCCTTTGTTATCAAGTCCCAAAGATCCTCAATTGGCCCTTCTATAGTCCAGATTTAAACCCAATAGAGAATTTATGGACTATTATCAAGAAAAGGATAGAGAAATAAGTGAATAAAATAATCAGGAAAAAAAATCTGTATTACAGACTGGCATGAGATAATTTGAGAAGAATGAGAGGATATTTCCATGGATCTATGTCTTAATTTGGCAAATGGCATGTCAGGGTGATTAAATGACATTATTGAAAATAATAAAAAAAAATCAATCATTAGTGTATATAATTTTTTTTATAAATACTATACTGATGTCATTGTAAAACTGCAATCCAAATAAATAAATTTTGCAAAATTTATATTTGAAAAATGATTCTCATTATTTATGACAAGCACTGTATATAATTTGAGAGATTGATATTTTATTATTTATATGTAAATTACAGTAGCAGCCTTCTTTATTCATTTTTTTAAAGGTTCCTAAACAGAAATTGTACTCATATGATGCTATGCTATAGTTCAATAAGATGAGTGCTTTCTTATGTACAAGTTTGAAAGAGGATAAAAAATAAAGCTAAGAATAATCTCATCTGCAAAGATTATTCATCATGTTATAGTATATAATAATGACAACATTATAGAGCTTCCTATTTCACCAATTTGGAAAGATTTTTAAAGCAGTTAGTATAGTTATGAACTACTAATATAATTATAAATCACCAAAAGTGGTTATAGATTATATATAAAGGCAAGTTGCAAGTTATTGGGAGTGATTATGAGGCTTTGGGTTGGGTAGATTGGTTAAGTTAGTTAGGTTGGTTGGATTGTAAGTTATCAGGAGTGATTATGAGACTTTAAGTTAGATGAGTTGGTTGAATTAGTTGGATTGGTTGGGTTGCAAGTTATTAGAAGTGATTATGAGGCTTTGGATTAGGTGGGTTGGATTGCAAGTTATCAGGAGTGATTATGAGGCTTTAGGTTAGGTGAATTGGTTGGGTTGGTTAGGTTACAACTGTAAGAGACTATTAGTAATAGGATATTAAAATGTATATATTTAAATAAAGAATAATATTCTGTTTTTTAATCAAATAATTTTGCAAAATTGCAAGAGATTGCACTAGTTTCTTTGCTCAAATATGATAATTTGAATATTCACAAAATAGATATTTGGAAGAAGATAATTGAATAGGAAACTGAGTTATTGAGTCAATGGATCATCTTGTTTGAATTCTTGTAATTCTAAGAGTTCAAAATGTGGATATCAGAAGTTAGACATCACTCTTACATATCACTTATCCACTTGGTC